ATGATCAAGCCTTTTCCTGCATGGACCACGTCTATGGTAAAACATACTGTCAGCCAACTGGCTCTAATCCCCGCAGCGTCTATCCTGTTTCTATCTCTAACACCAAGTCCACGACTTGTGCCAATCCACAAATTTGTGGTTCAACATTGAACCTAATCAAAGCAAGCAGTAACACAGCATTTGTGATTTGGCACACAAGAGACCAAGGCATGGACTTGGTATTAGGGATAGAATGGCAAGACTCAATGACGATGCCAGCGAAACGTCAGAGTCCACGGTCCGACTGCAAATTAGTATGCATACAATGGACTCAAAACAAAGTGCGTTCCTCTAGGTCCTCCTGTCAATATGAACAAGTTACGAAAACAAGGTCAAACAACTTCTATCTAACGAAAGGAGACTGCGACCATTCAAAAGGCCACACCATCCTGGTTTTCATATCTTCGATTAAAATTGAGTTCATTTGACTTGTCAATTCTAAGCTTAGTATAAATGAATATAGAAATGTACTCTATCGACATACCTTGAAGTCAATCCCACGAGCAAGGAGATTTGTGCAGATGAGGATATTAATTTTTCCCTCGCGAAAAGATCGAACAATAGCTTCTCTCTAAAGAATAATATTTTATAGAATTATTGTTTATGACCTTAGTAAGTTAGGATATTATATATAAAAATATAAATAATTTTCCAGAATGAATTAAGTTTTAAGCATTTAAGTAATTAATTACAGCTATACAAAGTTGATTCGACCTCGTTTTCTCAACCTTGTCAGCCCTCGGGCTACAAGGAACCTATCTTATGCTTCTTACATCAAACAGATCTTTGTTGTTTTTTTTCGTTATCAAACCAGTAACTGGATGCAATAATAAACTCTTCACTGTTTCTTTGAAAATATGAATATTATGGAAACTTAATATGAAAATTGAATGAACATTAAATAGAATCAGGAACGAAGATTAATTTAGTTTTAATATCATAATATAAGTGGTACATGACCAACCTGAGACTCCGTTTTTTCACTGGAAATAAAGTTGGCTAATATATCCGCGTTGGATAAAAGAATTTCCTTAAACACTTCCATGGCGCGTTTGCGGGAGTCGAGAAAAATTAAGCATGGGTACTGCATACCACGAGCAAGCATACACCGCAGTTCTAAAAGTTTACCCTGTTCCGTGGCACAATACTTCAATTCCTGACGAACGGTAGAAGCAGAAGCATCTCTAAAAAATATATATAAACAAAATTTGCAAAATAGCGCAGTAAAATATCGGCTTAAATCAATGCTTACTTTAAGCCAACTTGCAGATGAACTAGCATGAAATCGGTTATATTAGATGTAGTGCTCCTATCACTATCATGAGTGATTTTTAGAGGTTTATCCACTAACTCATATTTTGCCCAATCGAGAACCTCAGTAGGAATTGTAGCGGAAAAAAGAGCCACGGTCAATCTCCTCAACCCATGTTTCTTTATCAGCAGACTTGAAATAGAACCTATTAGAGGTTTTAATTGATCATGAAATGATTTGATGTGATGCCCAGATTTCATTTCGTTTTTGATATCTTTATTTATTAATTGGGTATAGAAGTCGCTTTCAAGCATCTTGTCACACTCATCTATAACGAGCCAAGAGAGCCTTAAATAAATAGTTTATAGGAAGTAAACAAAAATGATCTTACGATTTTAAATCAAAAGGTGTATCCTTGGGGGGAAGAGAGAAAAGAAACGAAGCCCGTTGAGGTGTGGCAACTATTATTTTTGTTAACTTAGGCAAACAACGTTCCTTGATATAAGCATTTTTACTTGTAGCTCCTTTGTTTCTTAATTTTCCTCTATTTGCATAGTGCTTTCGTGAGAGAACGACGATTTGTCCAGGCTTTGCTATACCAGTTGATAAGCGCAAAGCATCAGCCCATATTTGTCGTAGCAACTCTTGTGTGGGGGCAAGGATAAGTGCCATAGGCGAAATCTTATCAGAAGGCTTGTAATCAGTCTGAATTCCTGAGATATTTTCAGAGGCGAGCTGATTTATAATTGGGAGGAGAAATGCAGCAGTTTTTCCTGTCCCAGTGGGAGCACAAGCAACTAGGTGAAATTGCTGGAAAAAAAATCAAGTACAAATTACGAAATTAAACCAAAACTAATGAAGCATTGACAAATTCACCTTATGAAGAATTGGAATTGATGAAGACTGCACGGCACTGGGAAGGTTATACTGCATTGAAGCAGTATTTTCGAGAACGTTGTGATCAAACCCATAATTTGTCCTAAGATCACCAAAAGAAGTCACAGGTTTTGGGAGCTCAGCACTTATGTTATCACTTCCATTATATAAAGAGGTTTCAATGCTGTTGCATTTAGCAAGAATATGCTAAAAAGGTGACAGAAATACTACAAGCTATTACTTTAAGTGAATTGTTATTTTTGCTTTTAACTTTATTCTATAAGAAATATGGATTAAAACAAAATTAACTTCACCTCAAAAATATTTCCGAGGGACTTAGAACAGCCCTTATGCCGTGAGGTCATAACTTTCAAAGGCACACTATTTTACCGAATCGAGTTAAAGTTGCTAAAATCTTAGTAGTAAAAATATATCAAAATATTCATATAATAAAAGTATTTAAAAATATTTGCGTAAAATCAATATGAACTTAGTTTGTTTTGTGGGTTTTAATAAAATAATTGTATTCATCCATTAATTTTTCTTATAAAAAAAAGAAAGGCACATTACAAACTGCCTTTCTTAAAGAATTCTATCAATGCTTTTTTTATGGTTATGCAGCGGCGGTAATCCAAATTTCTCCAATTAAATTAAATTTCATCCATCAAGCATATGGTTTGTCTCTGAGTAACTACTGAGGAACACAGAGTTGGCGTTACTAACTCTTTAAGGGTTAAAAAGTCCTTTACCGGATTTTATAGTATGCATGATACTTTCCAGAGTTAAATAATGGACCTGCTATATTCGTCGGCATCTTAATTGGCATCTTAGTCGGTATCTTCACTGATCATTGCCAATCTGATCACCACACAACAGCTCGTCACAGAACCAAATTAATTCAATCCCTGACAAAATGTCTGCTAAGCACTTGTAATATATCTTCTTTTGTTTTTGTATATAACGTCCCTATATCCTCGGAGCACATCTTGACTATCCAAATTGCATATTGTTTATTAAACCTGGATGTGTACCCTTTGTGAGCAGATTTACTGAGACCTTTATGAACTTCACACTGGTTCCCACATCCTTTT